AACATGATTGTAAAACTGTAAAATGATGATGGAACCGAAGATGTTTGGACTTTGAATACATCATGCCATCCCTCAAACGCTTCGGTTGCTCGAGTTTTGCAAGACTCCAGTGGATAGGGATGCTTTTGGCAAAATGTTGCAACATGTTCAACTATTTACGGCATGCCGGTCAAACTGAACTTGAATGGATCTGAGAAAACCATATACGGGACTGGCAGAACCAGCTGAATGCACCAAGCAAGGCCGAGTTGAAAAACCTGGGTAAAACGAAACATTTGATTTTAAGCAGCCGCTGCATTTTGTTTCGTTACCGCACATTTCGCCAGCAATTGTTTGTTGACAGTTTGACTGCTCAGGAGTGCAAAATCGTGGAGAAAATGCCATGGGGCAAGGCTCTCCAATGTTGTTTGACGAATGATTTTAACTTTTGTTATTTGAGAAAAAATATTCATTGCAATGCAGACACTGAAGTTTCTTTGCGCAGTGCGTACCGAAAGAGATCCACCAGAATGCGTTTTTATCGAAGAATTTGCAATTCTCCGCTGCCACCTGCGTTCATGCGGGGTCAAAACGCGGGATGAAATCACTTGCAAATTGTTTCTGTGCAAGCTATCGAAAAACCACGGTAACGGAGGTAAATTTGATTTCAAACAAGGTCGTTTTTGTGTTCTGTTTTTGACTCAGAAGACAGCAATAACATTAATATGCGAAAAATCCACCGACCCCGACCTTCGCCAAGGCAGGGGCGGCGCCTGGGACCACCGCAGGTGTGGAACTTGTCTTTCTTAGCTTCCAATGCCTCAATGCTTCGCGGCAGCTTCGATCAGCTTGCCGTTTGCCTGCACAGCCCTCTCTTGTTAGGGCGTTGCACGCCCAACCCCGCGCGGAAACGCCTCGCGGCCACATCAAGCAAGCTACCCTAAGGCTACATCAATGGTAACCTTTCAAACGCTTAAACATTCTCTTGGCATGCCTAATCCTCAGCCAACAGGCACCCCAAGGCCACATCAATGGCTTCTTGTGGGCGTCCAAGCCTGCCGTTTGCCAGCCCTTAAAACCTTAAAACCCTTAAAACCCTTAAAAGGCTTAAAACCCTTAAAACCCTTAAAACTTTGCGCAAGCTTCTCGGAACGCCCAACCGCGCAGGCAAAAGCTACCCCAAGGCCACATCCATCGCTTCTTCTGGGCGGTCCAGCCTGCCGTTCGCCAGGCGTTACACGCTTCAAACCCTTCAAACGCTTAAACATTCTCTTGGCATGCCTAATCCTCAGCCAACAGGCACCCCAAGGCCACATCAATGGCTTCTTATGGGCGTCCAAGCCTGCCGTTTGCCAGCCCTTAAACCCTTAAAAGGCTTAAAACCCTTAAAACCCTTAAAACTTTGCACAAGCTTCTCGGAACGCCCAACCGCGCAGGCAAAAGCTACCCCAAGGCCGCTTCAAACCCTTCAAACGCTTAAACATTCTCTTGGCATGCCTCATCCCGCAGCCAACAGGCACCCCAAGGCCACATCAATGGCTTCTTATGGGCGTCCAAGCCTGCCGTTTGCCAGCCCTTAAACCCTTAAAAGGCTTAAAACCGTTAAAACTTTGCACAAACCTCTCGGAACGCCCAACCGTGCAGGCAAAAGCTACCCCAAGGCCGCTTCAAACCCTTCAAACGCTTGATGGGGTGGTCGGCGGCACCAGGGCGTTAGCCCATTTATAAAAGTAGGGAATCCAACGTATTCCTGCCGAGCCGCGCAAATTTTGCATTGCAAATGTGCCACCCAAATCCATCATGCCCGCTGAAATCCAACATCTTCCGCATCAGATGGCAGTGACAATTCCTCAGTTGAGCATCAGAAAAATGCCAACTTCGTATTGTGAATGTTCATGTTTGAACAAGAAAGCATGTTCGCAACCAGGAATTCCTAGAGGAAAAATACAACCAGCAAGTTAAAAAACGAAAGGGAAACGGTCACAATTGCGCAACCAACGACAAAAACCATCATAAATCATCCGCTCATGGATGCTGTTCGTCCTTGTAATTAGCACATGAAAACAATAAATTCAACATGGGGCGACATGGTACAATAAAACGGTTATTAGCCTTGGCTCAAGCCCCCTGCAGTAGTCGACTGCGACAGGCAAACAAAACAATCCAAAACACGTCACTTTGCATGTCAAGTCAACCCCACATCACCCTAACTCTGGTTCTGGTCGCCCAGTGATCTACCGTATGCCGTACACGGTTTTTTTTAAGGACAATGCTGTACTTCTGTCACCCGTATTCTTTTTAATCCGGCCTCTCTCAGTTCTTCTTCCTGCTTGTTCTGCAACTATGTTTTCTTCCTGTCTGCTTGCCAGCACCCTTTGCCAGGCATCGGATTTGTTGCTGAAGCGCAAATCAGCTGTCGGATGGCAGCCAGGGCCACTGGTCACCGATTGTCGGAAGTCTTCAGCAACATTGGCGGAACATGTGTCTGTGTTCCTGCAATGACTTGCAGTTGATGATCGACAGGTGTTGCAAGAAATTCTACTGGTCTATCCTTGAAATCGAGCCTCCCAACACAGCCTGTCATCGATGCTCTTCCCCCGTCTCTTCTTCAACTGCGGACGTCATTGCGTCAACGTTGATCTTCGAACTGCTTCTCGCCCAGTCATTTGGCAATCTGCATCTCTTTCGGCCATAAAGCACCACTCATCGCGCAAATGATCATCTCATTCCAATCTGGTGTCTCGGATTCCTCGGGTATCGCTTACGACTTGTTGGCAGTGCGCCTCGGACTGGCTTTTCCCGGAGTGATTGCAATCGGCTCACTCTTTCTTCTAGATCACGCAGTGCCTGTGGCGCAATCCAGGCCAGCGACCCTACCACACTTCTGAACTGGGAGCTTAACTGGCCATCATGTCTCTTTTCAGCAGCTACGCCTTTGCTTATCAGACATCCCCCACCCTTCCCTTGCGTGAGCTTGCCACTGCGAAACTTGAATCTGAATTCCTTTTTGCCAATCCTCGGTTCTGCAGATGGGATGATTGCAAGATCTGTTTGGCCTCTCTTCGCAATATCCAAATAGGCGGTGATGTATAACAAGTGTCTTCTCGGTAGTGAGAGCGCGTTGCAGTAGGGATTCTGCTTCATTCCAACAAATTCCAGCCCTCTCTTATAAGATCAATATCTTGTCCAGCAGCTGCTTGCTCTTCTTGGGCCAGCCACCCTTGGTGCACAAGCTTCATCCGACATGCGTTGGCCATCATCTACTCCAATCATAACCATCATAGATCATGTTGCGGCTGGCAAGCATTTCACGACCATCGCCTTCGCATTTGATTCCATCTGGAGGGTGGCCTCTCCCTTCGGAATGCTAGGTTGGCGGTGGCGACGTTGGAGAAACTCTCAACCACGATGTCCACAACTCTGGCATCTGGTATTTTGCTTTATAGGCTTGCCTTCCTTGCCTTTTCCCTTCGCCTTGTACCAACTTCCCTTGCCTTATTGAAGCGCCGGAGCCAATTCTCAGCTTCAGTAAGGTCAGCAGCCTTTCTTCTTGGTCTTCCCGAAAGTCTTTTGTCTTGCCTAAAGTAGGATGCTTCCATCGGCCCATAAATAGACATCGTCGTGATACCAGCCATATGCTCCATCTAGCTGGATGTTCCCTGCTCCCGCCCGACCTTCCATTCCTCACCCACTCACTCACTCACCCACCTTCACTCACTCACTCACTCACCTTCACTCACTCACTCACTCACTCACTCACTCACCTTCACTCACTCACTCACCTTCACTCACTCACTCACCTTCACTCACTCATTCACCTTCGCTCACTCACTCACCTTCACCTTCACTCACTCACCTTCACTTACTCACTCACCTTCACTCACTCACTCACCTTCACTCACTCACTCACCATCACTCACTCACTCACTCACCTTCACTCACTCACTCACCTTCACTCACTCACTCACCCACCCACCCACTCACCCACTCACTCGCTCACCCACTCACTCACTCACTCACTCACTCACTCACCTTCACTCACCTTCACTCACCTTCACTCACTCACCCACCTTCACTCACTCACTCACCTTCACTCACTCACCCACCTTCACTCACTCACTCACCTTCACTCACTCACCCACCTTCACTCACTCACTCACCTTCACTCACTCACTCACCTTCACTCACTCACTCACCTTCACTCACTCACTCACCTTCACTCACTCACTCACCTTCACTCACTCACTCACCTTCACTCACTCACCTTCACTCACCTTCACTCACTCACTCACTCACTCACGCACGCACGCACTCACTCACTCACCTACCTCACTCACTCACCTACCTCACTCACCTACCTCACTCACCTCACCTCACCTCACCTCACCTCACCTCACCTCACCTCACCTCACCTCACCTCACCTCACCTCACCTCACCTCACCTCACCTCACCTCACCTCACATTCACCTCACACCACCTCACATCACCCACTCACCACTCACTCACTCTCACTCACTCACTCACTCACCACTCAACTCCACTCACTCACTCACTCACCTCACTCACCTCACTCACCTCACTCACCTCACTCACTCTCACTCACTCACCTCACTCACCTCACTCACCTCACTCACCTCACTCACCTCACTCACCTCACCTCACTCACCTCACTCACCTCACTCACCTCACTCACCTCACTCACCTCACTCACCTCACTCACCTCACTCACCTCACTCACCTCACTCACGACTCAATCTCTCACTCTCACTCACCTCACTCACCTCACTCACCTCACTCACCTCACTCTCACTCACCTCACTTCAATCACTCTCACTCACCTCACTCACCTCACTCACCTCACTCACCTCACTCACCTCACTCACCTCACTCACCTCACTCACCTCACTCACCTCACTCACCTCACTCACCTCACTCACTCTCTCTCTCTCTCTCACTCACTCACTCACTCACTCACTCACTCACCTCACTCACCTCATTCACCTCACTCACCTCACTCACCTCACTCACCTCCCACTACAACCGGGAAAGCCACCCATCCACATCCCATCACGTTCACCCAGATCCAGATCGCCACAACGTAGTTCGCCAGTACGTCGTTCTCCAGTCCGTCGCTCTCCCACACAGCGTCATCGCCGATTCTCACCCCGTCGCTCCCGGTCTCGTCGCCGATCCCGCCAACGACCTCATCTTCATCAACCACCTCGCTCTCGATCTCCTCTTCCTCGACAACGTTCCAACACCGTGGGCTACTCCAAATCCAGACATCCTGCCAATCCCAAAGACCGTCGTACTCCATCGCCATGCCGCAGACGCTCTACAGCCCGCCGTGGACATCATCGTCATACCCGCCATCGCTCGCCAAACCCTCCACGCCGCAGTCCAACACCAACTTCTCATCCCATCGTCCTTACTCCTGCCACACGTGAACGAGATCCACCTCTCACTCTCTACAGTTCCACACCAGATCCTGACGACTCCTGGGGCAAGTGGGTTCCCCCTCAACCTGATCGTCGTATTCCCAACAGTCCCTCCGGTCCTGTTCAGGAGGATCGCCAGCGAGTGAAGGTGTAGGAGTTGGAGTTGAATCTTGTCCGCGTTTGGCTGGAGGAATGTTGGTGATCAGTGATGGGAAGACCTTTTGTGTGGAAGCCACATAAGAGACGGTTGCGCAGCTGGAGTTCATAGCGGAAGCCCCTTTGTTGGCTCTGGCGCTGCCTGCAATTGCACATAGACGTTGGATTTGGTCGTTTCCACCAGCGCCGGCTGTGAGCATTTTGGGGCCCCTGCACGTGGCCAAAATCCCGGATGGGTTTTGACCTTTTCCAATTTTGTAGAGGTTGGAGGACAGGTTGCCAACGACCCAGGCGCCCAAGTTGTCGGGATCACTAATCTCCTGAGCCCAGCCGAAGAATCCGTAGCATGGGTATTGGGCTGGGACGCCGTCGCTCATAGCCCATGAAGCCGGACGGACACAATTCTCCACCAGAATTTTGGTGACATTTTCCCACGTGGTTTTGTGGTAGATGACATAAGAATGGGCAGATTCACCTCTGAATACCGGTTTGGGCGGCAAACCCGTTGGCACCGTGATCGTCAGCAGTTGTTCCGCCTCCACATAGTAGCCCCGAGTCTTGGCAGCAAGAGAAGTGTCCAGTAACCGAGCCTGGCCGAAGCATGTGGCGATGTTAGTCACAGCGGCACTGCTTGCTTTGATGTAGATCGTCTCCCCAGCTTATAGGGCTTGGCCAGTTGGGCGAACATCTCATCAATGAAGTTACAGTAAAGCCACTGGCTGATGTGTCCAGTTTGGTACGGATGTCCACCTGGTGATCCGCATCCAACTCCGTGACGCAATGGATTCGAGCTGGATCAGCGGCAGCATCCTGCATCTCGGCAATGTCAACGTCACCGGGATCGAAGGAGGAGATGTCGACAGGTTCAGACTCAGAATCATCTGTATCGCCAGAGGGAACCCGAAAGGAGGTATTCTCGAAGGTGCCACGAGGAGAAGTAGGAACTTGGTTGGTCGTGGGTGCTTCCGGTGGCTCGCACTGCCTCCGCGGAAGCTCCACCACCAGAACCCACTTCTCCTGCCGCACCTCCTGATTCGGCCAATCCTCCGTCTCATGCTTCCCATCATCGTGCCCGTACTCCACCGGCCAATTCCAGGGATCGACATCATCACTATACCCATCGGGATTCCCACAATTCTTGGACTCGTGACTTCGATGACTATCCTCGAGACCGCTCTGCTCGCCACGAAGGTGCATCACGACATCATCATCGGGAAGACGCTTCGCATTCTCACGCATACCGAAATCCTTCCCGACATGACTGGTAGAGGCTACGTCCGGGACAAGATCAACTGAGAGGACCCATCCTGCCGACCTATTTTGGAGTAACAATGCTTCTCCCGTGGCATATAGGCACCCGGAGTCCTTCTTCCGTCAAAAAAATGATCGAGGGGCTTTTCGGACGATCTTGCCTGTTTCCGGCTGGGGCTAAGCCTAGAACCCCAATCGAACTCTTCTCCTTTGTGTGTTTTTTGACTCTTGCGGTTGCGATGACACGCCGTCTACTATCGCTGGGGCTAAGCCAAGTACCCCATTACATGTTTTATTGACGGTTTCATGCTTTTTATTCAAGCTCGTTTTGCTGCCTTCATCTCAGCGGCCGACCGCTTCTTGATGGCGTACCAAGACCTGTCTCTCAGTTCTCACAAGCGTCGTCGACGATCCCACCGACGCAACCGGATCGATCTCGCACTCCTCGTCGTCCTCAACATGACTGGCATCAGATGACTCCTACGTTTCGTGGACCTATGCATTTCGCGATGGCAGTACCCAGGCCTACATGGCCACAAGGGAGTGTCCCACCTCCACCGCCAACGACGATGCCGAACATGCCTTTGACTCCACAGCCAACTACGATACAGAACATGCCTTTGACTCAGCCTGCGTGGCCTCCACTGCCAACTCATTCATCTTTCCCACCGCGGCCTCCGACATTTCCCGCCTCACAACGCGACCACCAACAACCCAGTCTCCTCCTCCGACCACACCTCCTTTGGGCACTTCACTTCGCCATGGTTATGCTTGCTGTCCTTGCGAGATCCCACCGGTCGACACATGGAAGCCCGATGTCGACTACCACGACACCAACAAGGTGAATGGTTTGGATTTCCCGGCCAGTATTCGACAAAGCAAATTCTCCAGCTTCAAAGACATCGAAGGCATGGACCCATTACAGGTCCCCCTTTGGAAGTTTCTGTACCAGGGCATTCACAATTTTTGGCTTCGTCGAATCGCCTATGGGAGGGAAACCTTTGTGCTTCCCTTTGACAACATTGGCACCACAGTCTTCATTGCTGAATTGGTCGCCCAGCTTCGAACACGTGTTGATTTGGACAAGCTGGCCGCTCACCGATCTCGCGCTTCGGGTCAAAACATCATCCAGAAGGAAGCTACCCAGAACATGGCCAAGGAGGTCGCGCAATTGATGCAGTCACGGCTTCCCGCCCACCCGGTGGCCGACACAGCCAGCCAGCAGCGCATTCTGGAGCTCGAAGCGGAATTAGCCAAAGTCAAAGGAAACCCTGGCCAATCAACTCCTGCGGCTCCTTCCGACAATCAACCCCAAATGTCAACACCGATTGGCAGAGCGTCAAACTGAGTTTCAGCCACCTTCGACCCAGCTTGCCTTCTCGTCTCTCCTGGCTCAGTGGACCCGTGGCTTGTGGAAAACCAACCGACCTCACTGTCAAAACCCAATTCAGAAAGTGGCTCAAAGATCTCCAGTTACCAACTCACAAGGCTGAAACTTTGCGGAAACAGTTGGGGAAAGTTGAAGAATGGTGGAATGCACAACCAGATGAAGCCGCTAAGACGATCCAGAGAGCCAGTGTAGCGATGGGCATTGATCCGTGCAAGCACAAGAACGCCTCCACTGATATGATCGTCCTCAAGGTCATGACCGTGGCCATGGTGATGCAGTCCTGACTAGGCACATCGTTAACGACCTCAGGCTCAACAGCAGCCCAAATTATGTCCGATCTCAACGTCGCTCATGCCTGTGTTCTGTCCTTGGCCTTGCTTACTCCGTTCACTCTGTGCCCTTCGGTTTCTCTTTTTCATGCGGTTCGAATGATTCAGACGACGTTGATGGGCCAATATGTTCTTCTTCACCCGAAGAGTAATTCGAAGCTCCGTGCACTGCTCGATGGCACTCCTTTTCGACGGATCTTTTATTGTACAACCTGGGATGCCTTGATTTCGTCATTCTCTTGCTTCAAACACACTCAGGCGGTTTATGTCCGGTTCTCTCACATTATGAATTTTCAACCCAAATTCTATATTGGTTCGACTTCTTCTTTTGTACTCTGTCGTGAACACTCCCGATACAAATTTCTCCAAGTTCAACAGAACAAATTCGTGTTGGCCGAAGTTGCCTTACGGTTTTGGTGCCGCTACGACAATTTTTGGATGTGGTCAGTTTTACCGATCTACACAAACAAATCCAACTTTTGGGCTTTGGAACAAGCCTTAATTCAATTGTGGCAGCCTCGATTGAACACCCCGTTCATCTATCAATTTTTCAATTGTCGGAAAGGGATCATCACCCGTTCCAAATTCTCCCATTCTCGACAATTCGGTGCATTTTCGCTGTGGCGCAAACTCCGATGGTCTTCCACTCCACTACACCTTCGCCGAGCCCTTCACAGTCCACTTTTTTACCGTCGAGTACAGCTTTGGGAGATCATCCAGGATTTGGGCAGCAACTCCGTCCGTCGCTTCCACATGGAAAAACGCAGCGCGGACTAGCGCGGACCAGCGGAGACCTGCGCGAACCAGCGTGGCCCAGCGCGGATCAGCGCGGATCCAGCGCGGCTCAGCGCGGCCCAGCGCCGATCAGCGCGGCTCAGCGCGGCTCAGCGCGGCCCAGCGCGGCTCAGCGCGGCCCGCGGCCCAGCGCAGCCCAGCGCGGATCAGCGCGGATCAGCGCGGATCAGCGCGAATAACGCGGACCACCGCGGATCAGCGCAGACCAGCGCGGATCAGCGCGGACCAGCGTGGATCAGCGCGGACCAACGCGGATCAGCGCGGACCAGCGCGGATCAGCGCGGACCAACGCGGATCAGCCCGGATCAGCGCGGATCAGCGCGGCTCAGCGCAGGATCAGCGCCGATCAGCGCGCATCAACGCGGATCAGCGCGGATCAACACCAATCAGCGGGCATTAGTTCGGAGATCTTCCATAGAAGCCCATGGGGCAAGTGAGATGTGAACATGGAATAGCACCAAGCATGGTCACTATTATTGTGTTTTTGATTTTTGTCCAGGAACAAAGTTTTTCCTTGACGCAAGTGGGTGCTACATCTCATGCGCCGTCGGCTTGATGTCTTGCTACTCTTTTCTGCCACCCGTCCTGCACCTCAAACTACCTCAAATCAATAGCCTTGATGCCCTCCTAATACCCTCTTCAGCCACCTGTCAGGCACCAAAAATCAATAGTTTTCATCCCCCTTCGTCCCTCTCAGCCACCCCTCGTGCACCACTAATAGCACTGATGCCTTGCCACCCTTTTCCGCCACCCTTCCTGCACCACAAATCAGTACCCTTAATGTCCTGTCACCCTGTTCCGCCACGCTTCCTGCACCACAAATCAATAGCCTTAATGTCCTGCCACCCTGTTCCGCCACCCTTCCTGCACCACAAATCAGTACCCTTAATGTCCTGCCACCCTGTTCCGCCAGCCTTCCTGCACCACAAATCAATAGCCTTAATGTCCTGCCACCCTGTTCCGCCACCCTTCCTGCACCACAAATCAGTACCCTTAATGTCCTGCCACCCTGTTCCGCCAGCCTTCCTGCACCACAAATCATAGGTTTTGGTATCGGTTTGCTCTTCCAGATGTTTAGCAGGCAGTGGGTCTCTCAATATAGATATAGATAGAGATGGAGATAGATGGATGTGTATCTAATGCACAACATGCACCTGGTGAACATGCTTCACTGATAGATTGATCGATAGATGATAGATAAGCCGTAGGAGCCAGGAGCCATAGAAGCCATAGAAGCCGCAGAAGCCACAGAAGCCACCAGGAGCCACCGGAGCCACCAGGAGCCACCAGGAGCCACGAAGCCACCAGGAACCAGGACCAAAAAAAATGCCCCCCAAAAAAAATGCCAAAAAATACCCCTCCTTTGTTTCACGTCTTTCTTCATCATTCGTTTCAAGCCTTCCTTCCCCTTTTCGTTTCAAGTCCGTTGCAAGCCCCCTTTTGGTTGTGAGTCTTGCCTCAATGGACATGTTAAACCCGAATAATCCTGCAACGATGAAATTACCATCACCGACCCCGAGAACCTTGGATTTATGAAACCTGGGAATCGAAATCTGTGAGCCGTGGAAGGTTGCAACCTTTGAACTGCCTTTAACCCTAAAGCTTTGAACTCTGGAGGGCTGCAACGACCAAATCCTGGCAGCTTCCAAGGTTTCAGGGCCCCTTTGTTGGCCTTGGCACTTTTTGCCGCAGCCAAATCCACACCCATCCCCACCATAAACCACAGGTTTGGCCCTTACTGCAAGCACTGTTGTCCTTATAGATCTGACTGCAGACAAGGATCCACCTGTTCACTCATTATAGGTTTGTACAGCACTGAAGACTCTAAGCTCGGCCGCAACGTCTGATTAAAATGTAATGCAGACAAGCAATGGGGGCAGTCAAAGTGCAAAGGCCATCTCGGTCTTGCCTCGAGTTGGAACAAATTTTCAGAGAAATCCCTGACGCTTACACATTTGTTTAATGTGCTGTTGGAAAGGCTGTGGGCACGCGCATCCCAGTCTATGCAGAAAGGATTGTCAATTTCATCACCTTGCAAGGGCAGACTACAAATTTGTATTCACTCTGCGTATTGTACTGAACGCAGCGTTTAGAGCTTAATGCAGCACAGGCACTTTGTCAGATCAGGATGCACAACAGCAGTGGAAGCAATGAATGTCATCGGCAGCACGGAAAACTACAAAACCGAGGGTTCTTCGGAATGATCTAGCAAAGTGCTTTAAGCAGGCTCAAAAAGCATGAACCGCTCCGGTTCGCCTAGCTGCTAGCCTTTGATGTTCAAAAAGACTTGCGGTGTTAAGTCTGCTGCACATCACCAGAACAAAAACCGTACTGGACCTGTCTGTGGCTCACAAAAAAAAACTGATGGATGATTGTGTTGAAAGGCCAAGGTACAAACATAGATTACTTTTTTGTAAGCATAAAATTGATTCCTAATCACAAGATTCACAAGATTTAGATTGTTGAAGCTGATTGGATCGTGAATATGAGCGCAAGACCTCGAGCCAAGAATCACACCTGAAGAGTCAAAGCAAATCTTCAATGTTTTATTTAAGCAATTTACCCACGGATTTGTTTTGTCCGAGCTATTCAATCAGGAATCCCAAAAAACATAAAGCAGCTTTCGATTATTGTAAACTCCGGGCACAGTGTGAACGGTGTGACCATGGAACATGCTCCTTGGCCAAACAGCGCGTCTCATCTCCAACAGCCCAAAGTCGCGAGAAGAATCCAGACCAAAAAAGGCATTTCCCCAAGGAAAAGGCATAAGCTGTTGAACTACTTGGCAGCTTTTTATGGCTTCAAAACCACACTACAAACAGCTCTAGAGTTCCCCAACCCTGGACCAGCCAAGCTTCACAAAAAGTATCTTGAACTGTCCACAACTTGTTCCCACGATCCGGGATACAGTACCTTCTCAATTTCAGATGAAATTGCAACCGGTTTCCACTGAAATTTCTGTCCATTCACACCACAGAATCATGCATGTCGTTGCAGCCATGACCTGAAACCTCTCACACCAGAAAACGCCAAGACCAGATCTGACACTGCAGTGTTCAAGCCACGCTTCTCTTTTGTTTTTGGTTTTTGGTTCCACATAGAATGTTGAACCCAAAAACCAAAATGTCGTCAACGGGTGCAGAAACCCATTTGGGCATAGGAAAATCTGGAGACTTCGTCAGGCAGAAAATATCCTCCTGTACTTGAGTCGTTCATAATTGTCAATCAAAGCAAGGCAAATCAAATGAATATTCAATTATTTCTATAAACCTTGGAAGGCAGCCCAGTCCAAGCAACAATCAAAGTTCGCAAATTGACTTTTTGAACACTCTGCCAGCACGTCTGATGTATATGTCCAGCTCCACTCCAGCCTGGCAATGTTTGGACACAATTCAAGCCCCACACTTTAAACACCTTGCTGATCCTTGCTGTTTATGCTGTTCGCAAAACATCCTTCTGACCTTGTTTTCTCACAAATCCATGACTCTTGGTTCTCTTGTGTTTTGTTCCCCATAATCAATTGCATTCTCGCCTTTTCAACCACGAAACCAATGTAACATGAGACTGTGTGGCGTGTGGTCAAAACAAATATTACACAAACTTCTAGGCCACCAAAAAGCATATACCATGGAATATTAGGTCCAGCCTATGCCATTGCGGCTTCACACAGGAATAAAATAGCCCGCAACATATGAGTGGACATCCATGGTCCTGAATATAAGAGGTTCCGCGCATGCTAGGCAAGTGTTTGACAAATCATCCGTTTGATGTCTTATCTTCATTCATCTCACGTATATGCTGCACAATGTGACGAATTAGGGAATGAGAACTTAATCTTGAGCAATATTTTGTTGCTTCTTTCAGGGGCCCACGCCACTTAAACACCATCCGAACATGTCGCCTTTACCACTCAATTGCCCACATGTCAAAATTACAAAAGCAGCAACACCGACCAATTTGCATCCCAAGGACCAGGGTGACGGTCCTCATCTTCAACAAAAAAGGGCAGTTACAATAGATGGGCATAGGGCTGCTGGAGCTGCTTCCGGGAGACGTAGTGAAGGCCACAACTTCGTGGGCTGCCAGTGCATGGCTGGTTTGATGCAGCCCTTGTCCTTGCGCAGGAGCTTTGCACTGCACAGGTCGGGAACCGACGCATCTTCAAAGCTGGACGCCAGGGGTGGTGCTTTCCGATGCACATTCGGATCTGCTTGGAGTTGGCCAATGGTCTAAATATTATGTGTGCAGAGATATGTGGAGTGTCATGGGAATTGTCTGATGCAAATGTGCACGTTGTCAAGCAAGGCGGCATGTGATCATTTGATCTTGAGCAAAAGCATCTCGAAGTTTGCTTCTGAACAACCGGAGGGAAAGCCTCGGCAGCGGAACAGATCGCTTTGCTCATCACCATCGGCAAGAGTTTTGGGCGGATATCTTTGAATGGAACCCCTTCGCAGCAGTTGCAGGTCAATAGCACAAAGTCCAAAGGCCGAAATTGAAGAGAGAGGTTCAGGGTCATGCAGGATGCGCCCGGACTTTTGCTGAGCATCAACCTTGCAGTCCTATATCCAAGAGGAGGTTAGCAAGAAGGAATCATCAACTTGGAACAGAGATGTGCTGTGCAAGAGTCCGAGGAGCTTCTTGAATCTGTTGGAGTACAACGACCTTGTCTCGCATGCTTTGAAAGGAACGGCATGTCGTCACTTTTGGAAGATCTGATGCAGTTTGCTATTGCTCAAGAATAAGCTGCGATTCTGGCATGCGGCTGACAAGCCAGCTGCCAGTTGGCTTTGTCAGCCAATTCTTGATGGGGAAACCTTCCCGCACTGAACAGCCAAGACCGGGATTTTGAGCCAATCGAATCAAAATCTCACATGCTTTAGACAGACTTGGGAAAAGCTCTTACTCCTTCCAATCAGCAATGTCTTGAAATGAAAGTCCGCTATGTTGACTTTGCCAACTACGAGCCATCTGCCAAACCAGGTTCCCAGCACAACAAAGTGGAAGAGGTGCTGGGTTTCAAGGACAGAGTGTTGGAAAGACACTCCGCATGTCCAGGCACGCAGGCAATTTGACATGCCCTTGGAAGAAACTGGGCTTCTTCAACGCAGCAGCGCATCCTCTTGGTCAAGACCCTGGCCATGGAAAGCTTTATTAATCCCTCCTGGTGGCAGCATGGTTCAGGTTTCTCACCTTGTCAGAAGGCATTTTTGTTTGCGCTTAAACACCAGTCCCGCAAGCTCTCTTGAATCTGAAGTGCGATGGATCCCATTCACTGAGACCGGAACTTCTTGCAAGGGCTCTGGTGCGAACACAGCTTTGTGTTTCTATGGTGGCTTGTCTGGGAGACCAAGAAACGAGAAAGGTGGGGCTGACCCAATGACAATGTTGATTCAGAAGCTTGGGACAAACCAGGTAAGGGCAAAATTGATATGAGGGAAAGGAACAAACATTTGCTTTTCATTGACAACAGAACTTGGTGGCTGGGGACAGATAGCTTTCCATGAGGCCGAGTCCTCATTTTAAAGGGCGGCATTTGCAAACAAGTTTTGGGGCTTTAGACTCTATGAATGTTTGATATGAGAGTATATTCGAGGCAATTCGAGGGAGTGTTGCTGGGGCTGCATCATGGCAGTGACAAGCCTGCTTTAAATTGCTGATCCAGGCGCAACTAAGTATACGAGAGGTCAAATCCTTCTTGAGCCAGTTGCGGCCACGAAAAGCGCACAATGATTGGCATCTTGCCAAAAGAACTGGATTTGGGTTTAGTCCACAGTTCGGGGGGAATTGAGTAGCAAGATCTAGCTTCCAAACTCCCTCAAAAGCAGGCCTTAAAGGCAGCACCAGCAGCACCCGCAAGCTCTCCAGAGCCGCAGCATCGGAGATCAACTCACCTGGTATGTGGTGCACAGTCAGGATTGGGTTGAATATCTCCCACGAACGCCACAGGACTGTTCGAACAGCCTTGCCGTTTGCAAAACTGCGAGTTTAGGAGGAGACACGCATCCCTTTCACACCGAGGCTTGCTCTGGGGAGGAGTTCATCTCGGGGATACGGTACCAGTACAGGACGTTGTGATCTGTGGTTGGCCGGCACATGGAATCTGCCTTTGACTCTGTCCTTCCGGCAAACCCGCTGAACACGCGGTTGACCGGTTCTACGCATTCTTAGACTTGGTCGAAGTTGCAACCTCGCCCTCCTCCTCAACTGGAGATCGAACAGTCTGAAATCTTTCGAACACTTACACCAGCTGGCACAGTGAGCACCACGTTTAACCCAAACAAGACCAATGAAGCAAATTTCAATCTGCAGAAAAGTTAGAAGGCCCGGAAGCGACTGCGCGATACTCTTGTTAAACTGTCTGGCCGGTCTAGATTAAAAGGCTCACATTGAGTCTTGTAGATGGCCCTTGTCAATTTGAGCTTTCAAGACTTCCATCCAAGCACATAGAGCTCAGCCGATTGCGAAATTCCATTAAGGTCTGGTCACAAAGTACATCATTGAAATTGCAGTGCTTCACTTTGCATTTTGTAAGCACTAGGAATTGGCGCCGACAACTTGAGAACATAGGTAAAGGTGGGAGTGGCTTACTTAAGCCTTGCAGAAGGTGCCACGCTGACATGACTCCAAAGCACAGCTGTGTTTGCTCAACTTGGAACAATAACTGGCATTATCTATGCGATACTGGACTTCGATGCCGTCGAACTAGAGCGAAGCCACAACTGCACCTCTCCGAAGCTATAGCTGGCCCGAAGCTCTTGCAGCTACGCAGGCAAGGTCTGTGAAAAGCTCGGACTGGCCCTGAGGGAGCTTTTGGCTGAGCACCAAGCATCGGCAGGGGCGTGCCATCCATGTCAGACTCCAAGTAAAGACAGAGTAGCTCTGTCTCTGATGGGTGCGTGTGCCTGGAGACAATGCTGGCAAAGTGCTGTCAAGCATGACACATTCAAAGTGAAACGATACTGTACCTCTTGGTGCAAAGTTCCTTCGTCAGGGTGTGGGAGTTCAAGGTCATTTGCTGTAAGGCGGTCCTGGCCACTTTCGGAGTTCTTAGATCTACTTTAGATGTTGTGAAAGCCATATCTAGCAAATGGACAGTCTCGGAAAACTCATGGGCATCAAAGTGCTTGAGTTTGCAGCTCAGAGGAAGAAACCCTGCAATGAACATCACGTGCAGGACAGCCTGTCCCGCAGTGAACTTAGCACGCATCAAGTTTTTTGCGGATGTGTTTTAAAGCCTTTCTGGCCTTTGGGCCATGTGCTGCAGCCTTGCGTGCACGTGTGTGTCTGTCTGTCTGTCTGTAAATGCCTGCCTGCCTCCCTGCGTGCCTGTCTGTCTGTCTGTCTGTGTGTTGTGGTATTTGCAGCACTTAAAGAACCTAGAGGTGTGAATCTCGTCTCATGTGAATTCACACTCGTCTCATCCATTTGAAGAGCGACTGATCGCATTCAAGCAAAAAACATCGACAAAAGAGTCAATTTGAAATGTCGCTTCAAGACCATGGCCATTTAGGGGCATGTCAGTTGCATGCATAACTTCTGCCTCATTCAAAAGCCCAGCCATTTCAACTGTGTGCAAACGTCCCAAGATGTCCCAAGCTAAAAGAGGCATCAAATTGACAGTATCTACTGTATCTACTTTGCACAATGCGTGCAGGGTGTGTCACTGATGATCGCACACAACCAATCCACCGGAAAGAGTCGAAAACCTCGTTAGGACTGTGAACCATCTCACAACTCACCATAGCCAGACAACTGACAAAATATCTTTGCAGCGTCACCAGCATCACCTTGCATGATTGGCATTCTTGATCTTGGATAAATCCCACAAGACATGCAGTTGATGCCTTGCATGCAGCTTGAATCATTCTCAGAAAGCACTGAGTTAGGGCTAAAAAGTTGTCCAGTTTTCTGGCCAAAGCAAGTAGGGACAGTCTGTGAGTGATTCATCCAGCTTTGCTGTCCAGCATCACTTCTATCACAACAGACAACAAGGTTCAATTTCGTGAGTAGCATGCTGACTGTCCATGCCACTTGAGAGAGTAAGCAAGGTGGTGGTGTTGTCTTCATTCCTGGACAGTCCACCAACTTCGAAATCTTCTGCGAGCCTGTAGATGTCAGCAAATTGGTCTCGAGGATTAGTCCAAAAAAATGCCATGAAAGACCAATCCCTGCAACATACATCATGCAAAATTCACAAGGAGGGAAAAAGAAGCTGCTAGCTTGGTGGAGCGCTGAAATTGTCTTTTAAGTAAGCTGCCTTGCATGATCTGACAAACACCGACTCCGTTTAAGACACAAGCGACGTTGATCTGTGTGAACTACTCAGAATGCCCCAGCCAACGTCTGGTCGCTTTCACGCAACAACCTCTATGATTCAAAGCTGTGGTGCCAGCGAGTAAAAGAAATAACTTCAAATTCATTGTGGGAAAGGTCCGGGTTTCAGTGTCTATGGGCAGGTCTCGCAAAATGGAGCTAGCAAGCTCAGTCGGCTTGGAAGCTCAAGCTTCGGTCCGCCAGAAGCTATTCCACAGAATGCACCCGGAGGAATCAGCATTCAACACCAAGCCGTTTTTTGGATGGCAGGCACATGACAAGCACAGTTGGACCGTCTCTTCGGATGTCCACCTTGGGGTGGCGATGACATGTTTGGTCAGCGAGCGTAGAGCCGACCACAATTCATCATTTAGGGTCATGCCTCATAGACAACAGATCAAGCACTGACTGAACCATGATAGTCACTGCAGCTTGACCAGAATGAGGACGGTCAAGTCGTGTCCGGACCAGATTTTCTCGTAAAAGCAGAGAGTGCTGCTTTATTTGTTTCATCGTGTGCAGCGAAGAAACTTGTGAGGATGACAAACATGCTTTCAAAAAACGTGCGTACCGAGTTTTAGCCCCCCATTACACAGTTTTTTCTTGCGCAAACCTTTCGCAGCCTAAGGTCAGTGCCTGCGTCACTTAATGGTGTGACAATCAAGCTTCTCAAGCTTCTCAAGCTTCTCAAGGTTCTCAAGGTCTCTGGCGTCGAAAACAAAGCTCAGTAGACTGAGTGTCTGGACAGGACAAATGACAGGACCTTCCTTTCTGCATGTCCCCGAAACTCGAAAAACCATTAGCTCTTGTTCAATGGCATGCGATCAAGCGACCTTTTTGTGGCAGAGATCATTCCACCCAGCAAGATTGGTGCTTGCGGCAAGGTAGCCAAAGGGCCCAAGTCAGATCTGCTTCCGTTACAATTCCTGAGGAATGATGGAATTACCCTGCCAATTATCTCTCTTTTGCAACAAAAAACATGTTGCACTGACCAGGTGCTTTCATCTTCACCATTGACCTTTTACATTTAGAAGCTTTCAAATTGTTGCGATTGCTGGCTTGAAGAGACAGTGTGGTGCCATCCTGTTGTTGACCCGCTTGGCAGCAGAGCAGAGCGTTAGCAATGAGGGGTTCTTCAGCCCGTTCATCAGTTAACACATGATCCCTCGGCTGGCTTATGGGGTTGGTATTCATCCAAAGACATGGCAGTCTTCGACTTCTTGGGCTTTCTCAAGAAATGAAAAGGTGAACGGAAAGCGAAGCGAAAACGGCCTGCAACAAGGCGGAACTTTACATTATTTGTAATTAGGTGTCATTGCTCTTCCAAACCTGAATTCTCGGAGTGCCTTCCACTTCGGGTGCAAAAATCTGACAGAACTCCGACACCGATGAAACCGAACGAAGCAGCAATTTGCCTGTTTGTACAGGTAGTTTGCAGCAGACGAGACAGCAGGAATGGCTTTTCTTAGCCATTCATTGCAAGACCATCACTTCCTATCGTAGGACTTGAGGCCCAAGGGGGGGGTGAACGAAAGCTAAGGTTCATATGAGCCTGGAAACATGATGGGATTTTGATGGGATTTTGATGGGATTTTCGATATGCTGAATACCGATTGCCTAGAGACCTGCCAGGATTTGAGCCCGTGACCATCTGCTTCGAATCTTCCAAGACCGCCTCAAAATGCCCCAGGAGCTTAGGGAGGGGGGGTTCGAGTGAAAAATCACTGTGTTGGACTCAGACCTGCCCCTCCCCTTCCTGAAGCAAGAGTAACTCCAGGTAGCTACTGCTAGCTTTCGTGAAATATGAGACAGGCCGGCCAAAATACTTAGTCTTGTGAACATACAGTGAGCTGGAAAATGTACTGCAAACGGATGAAAAACCATAGGACAGTGCTCCAGCAGCCGAGACCTATGCACAGTCAGCCATGGTCTTCTAAACCTGAAGTCTCGAGCGTCTTTGACTTCCACAACGGACTGAGTCTGGGGGTGAAACTGCTGCTTGAAAATCGCGCTGATCGCCGCACCAGACTCTTGGCTTTCCATCTCCAGCTTAAGCTTACAGCACTCCTTTCATTCCTTTTTTCAAAAAACTTGCCTTCTCTGATTAATGGTAGCCAGAAAGACTGCACCAAGTCGCTCTTACCTCTCTGGAGTTTGTGCACTCCTTGATGACCCAGATTGAAACATTAAGGTGAACATCTTTTGATGCCCTCCCAACAAAAGAGTTGGAGAGTGGGCATGCCAATCCGTGGTCCCCCAGCTGGAGAGCATCAAGGAGGCGGGCTTCGCTGACACTGCAATGTCTCTGACACAATCGCAACTGGACTTCAGCACAACCAGGAAGGGATCTGTGGACATCATGTCTCAAACGAACTGAAGCGGAAAAAATCAAGAGAGGAACAATCTGTTGACTCTCTATTTTGCCACATCCTTCCCAATCAAATGAAAGGAAGTTGCGCTTCAAATTCAAGAGCAGCCGCTCCACTGCTAAGACTTCAACTCCAAAAGACGCATAGCATAACGCGGTTTACTCTACATCCCTAGATTCTTTTTTTGGGTGCCCCTCAAGCAATACCTCTCCAAAGGCAGAGCATACCACACTGCATGCAGCGTCTGGACAATGCAAGCACTCTCGCGAGATTTGTTCCTCGATAAAAAGTTTGTCCGCGTGGATGTGAAGGAACCCCAAGAGCTGTTGGTATGGGTAAAAGGTGTATCTGGCAGGTCTGTCATATCTCGTCATGTCCCAGCAGCTGCTTGCAAAGGAACAACCCTTGAAGGCCACTGGTTCCTGCAAAACACGTTTAATCAACTTGGCAGTAGACACTGTCATCTGCAGGCGTGAAATCCTACAAAGTCTTGCCACAAAAGTATGTGACAATTGCAACAGGTTTGGAGGCCCAGCAATTGTTTGCGCAACGTGCACTGCTCTCATGCACTGCAAATATACACTTTCGTGCGTCTTTGACACAAGGCCGTACAAAGCAGCAGAATAGCATGGGACATCCTGCGTTGAACCCATGAAAATATCAGATTACGGGAGTCAATCCCCAAAGCTTTTTGCTGCAAGAACATAGGGGGCCAAGGAATCTGCAAATCAAGTGCCACTCTCAAGTCGTGGCTTCCCAGCAGCTGCTTGCAAAGGAACAACCCTTGAAGGCCACTGGTTGCCACTGGTTCCTGCAAAACACGTTTAATCAACTTGGTAGTAGACACTGTCATCCGCAGGCGTGAAATCCTACAAAGTCTTGCCGCAAAAGTATGTGACAATTGCAACAGGTTTGGAGGCCCTGCGAGGGTCTGGGCAACGTGCACTGCTCTCATGCACTGCAAATGTACACTTTCTTGCCTCTTTGACACAAGGCCATACAAAGCAGCAGAATAGCATGGGACATCCTGTGTTGAACCCAGGCAAACATCATATTACGGGAGTCAACCTCCAGAGCTTTCTGCTGCAAGAACAGAGTGGGAAGCTGAGGCTTTTCCAAATCACATGCTGTGCCTATCTTTTGGCGGTCAACTACCCACAGCTGCGCCATCTTGCCATTCTTCAAGAATCAAAAATCATAGCAGGCTGGGTGGAATCAGTAAAAACCGGGAGTGGGAGAATGCTTTGGGAGACTCGCTGTCCTCATCTCGTACCGCGAAGCGCAAGACAAATCTCTCTGCATTTTGTGCTCTCCTTGATGACCCAGGTTGAAACATTAAGCCGAACTTCTTTTGATGCCCTCCCAACGAAAGAGCTGGAGAGTGGGCATGCCAATCCGTGGTCCCCCAGCTGGAGAGCATCAAGGGTATGGACTTCGCTGACACTGCGGTGTCTCTGACACAATCGCAACTGGACTTCAGCACAACCCGGAAGGGATTTATGCACGTCATGTCTCAAATGAACTGAAGCGGAAAAAATAAAGAGAGGGACAATCGGTTGACTTTGTCTTCTGCCACATCCTTCGCAATCAAATGAAAGGAACTTACGCTTCAAATTCAAGATCTGCGGCTCCAGTGCAACGACTTCAACTCCAAAAGACGCATAAAACGGTTCACACTACATCCCTAGATTCCTTTCTTGGGTGCCCTTCCAATAATGGCTCAACCTCTACAAAGGCAGAACACACCACACAGCATGCAGCGTCTGGACAATACAAGCACTCTTGCGAGATTTGTTCCTCGATGAAAAAATTGTGCGCGCGGATGTGAAGGAACCCCCAGAGCCGTTGGTATGGGTAAAAGGTATATCTGGCAGGTCTGTCATATCTCGTCATGTCCCAGCAGCTGCTTGCAAAGGAACAACCCTTGAAGGCCGCTGGTTCCTGCAAAACACGTTTAATCAACTTGGCAGTAGACACTGACGGCTGCAGGCGTGAAATCCTACAAAGTCTTGCCACAAAAGTATGTGACAAGTGCAACAGGTTTGGAGGCCCGGCAATTGTTTGCGCAACGTGCACTGCTCTCATGAACTGCAAATATACACTTTCTTGCCTCTTTGACACACGGCCGTACAAAGCAGCAGAATAGCATGGGACATCCTGTGTTGAACCCATGCAAATATCAGATTGCGGGAGTCAACCTCCAAAGCTTTCTGCCGCAAGAACAGAGGGGGCCAAGGCTTCTGCAAATCACCTGCCACTCTCATGCCGTCGTGTCCCAGCAGCTGCTGCGAGGGAACAACTTTTGAAGGCCATTGCTTCCTTCAAGAGACCATGAGACAGCTGGGTAGTAGACCCGGTCTGCTGCACGCATAAAATCCTGCAAAGTCTTGCCACAAAAGTATGCGACAATTGCAACAGATCTGGAGGCACGTGCACTGCTCTCATGCACTGCAAATGTACACTTTCTTGCCTCTTTGACACAAGGCCATACAAAGCAGCAGAATAGCATGGGAGATCCCGTGTTGAACCCAGGCAAACATCATACGCTGTGTGTTGGTCCTTGCAACGTTTCCAACAAAAGGCTTTCCTACAAATGTCAATGCTGAAGGGATGCAGCAGTTAAAAGCGTTTGGCAGGACAACCCAATCGTGCTTTGTCTCTCATTCAAAGGGAATCTGAAATCTTTTTGCGATCTGCCCCCCAGGACACGTCCGTCTTCGGTTTCGATATCCAGGTGCTAAATTCGTAAAGGCCAGCGACTATGCTGCGTGCGTCGTCTGCAGGGTGAGCTGTAGATTTGTAGAAATCTAGAAGTCACTGTGACTGGAGTCTCATCTTTGAGCCATGACCAACCAAAACACTGTTGCAGGGACATGAGGAAAAGTATCGGCGCGTTCCCCTCTGAACAACCGGAAGGAATGTCTTGGCAGCAGTAGTTGAAAACAGCAACGTTGAAAAACTCAGGCATGACCACCTGCAAAAGATGATGACATCGGCCATGCCAAGAGATGAAGTTCTATGCAAGGTTTGCCCACTACAGGTACATGGCCGATCCGTTCTTGCTCTACCATGCATCATCTGCTGAGAGACTGCTCAATCTAGTAGCACTTCCACCAGTTCGTATCTGCACCGGCGCTCTTGTGTTGTGCAATATCGGGGATCTGCTTTGTGGATATTTTGGCTCGAACTTTGCACATCTGAAGGAATGGGACAGACCGCTCATGATGAGATTGAATCTGCCCTTGTGTCTGCATTTCGTCAATTCCCAGCAAGGCCACAGCCAGCTTAGGAGCAAACCCATTTCCTCTGCTCTGAGCTGCAAAAATATGTCGTCCCACCAGCTGATATAACATGTCCGTTAGCTTTCGCTTCAAAAATGAAAGTGCAGGCGACCCTTTAGCCTTATTCTTGGTATGCGTCATCCTATTTCAAGGTTGCAGCACACCCAAACCTCTGTATTAGGCATTCATGAGAGAGCGCTGCCACATTCAGGCGGAGAAGCAAATTCTCACTTTCTTTGATGCAGTCCAAGAGGCAGGTGCCTTAAGCTGCTTCATCTGCAGAGCCTAGGTGCAAATCGGCAGCCACAGTTCTTGTCATATGCAGTCATGCCGTATCAGCACTCTGCGACAGGATTTTCACATCGCGAAAGCATCTGCCTGACCATGTTCGCAGGCTACATTGGAATAGGAAACTGACAAGTTCATTTGCTTTCACTCATGCGTCGGCATGCTGTTAGTGAAATGTGCGCTGTCATTGGCTGTGTGTTGGTCCTTGCAATGTTTCCAACAAAAGGCTTCCCTACAGATGTCAATGCTGAAGGGATGCAGCAGTTAAAAGCGTTTGGCAGGACAACCCAATCGTGCTTTGTCTCTCGTTCAAAGGGAATCCTGAAATCTTTTTGCGATCTGCTCCCCAGGACACGTCCGTCTTCGGTTTCGATATCCAGGTGCTAAATTCGTAAAGTCCAGCGACTATGCTGCGTGCGTCGTCTGCAGGGTGAGCTGGCTGTAGATTTGTAGAAATCTAGAAGTCACTGTGACTGGAGTGTCATCTTTGAGCCATGACCCTCCAAAACACTGTAGCAAGGACATGAGGAAAAGTATCGGCGCGTTCCCCTCTGAACAACCGGAAGCAATGTCTTGGCGGCAGTAGTTGAAAACAGCAACGTTGAAAAACTCAGGCATGACCACCTGCAAAAGCTGATGACATCGGCCATGCCAAGAGATGAAGTTCTATGCAAGGTTTGCCCACTACAGGTATATGGCCGATCCGTTCTTGCTCTACCATGCATCATCTGCTGAGAGACTGCTCAATCTAGTAGCACTTCCACCAGTTCGTATCTGCACCGGCGCTCTTGTGTTGTGCAATATCGGGGATCTGCTTTGTGGATATTTTGGCTCGAACTTTGCACATCTGAAGGAATGGGACAGACCGCTCATGATGAGATTGAATCTGCCCTTTTGTCTGCATTTCGTCAATTCCCAGCAAGGCCACAGCCAGCTTAGGAGCAAACCCATTTCCTCTGCTCTGAGCTGCAAAAATATGTCGTCCCACCAGCTGATATAACATGTCCGTTAGCTTTCGCTTCAAAAATGAAAGTGCAGGCGACCCTTTAGCCTTATTCTTGGTATGCGTCATCCTATTTCAAGGTTGCAGCACACCCAAACCTCTGTATTGGGCATTCATGAGAGAGCGCTGCCACATTCAGGCGGAGAAGCAAATTCTCACTGTCTTTGATGCAGTCCAAGAGGCAGGTGCCTTAAGCTGCTTCATCTGCAGAGACTAGGCGCAAATCGGCAGCCACAGTTCGTCATATGCAGTCATGCCGTATCGGCATTCTGCGACAGGATTTTCACATCACGAAAGCATCTGCCTGATCATGTTCGCGGGATACATAGGAATAGAAAACTGACAAGTTCATTTGCTTTGACTCATACGTCGGCGTGCTGCCAGTATGGCTTTCAAGCCAGGTTTCCCGTTGAGGCTTTTGCCACTCTGTTTGTTTCCGTAAAGTGCAATTCCTTGAGACACAGGCTCTGGCTGGTGCTAATTTCAAACTGCAGGCATGAGCAGCAAGCATGTGCATTCACCGCAGCTTTGAATATTGAGCAGCCTGTGGAGTCACCAGGAAGAAACGCGGAGCGCGCCGCAAACCAAAAAATTCACTGCTACATAACAAATACGCAACTTGGCAAACACTCAAACTTTTGTAAGCGAGCCACGTTTTCACTTTCTCTGGACATCCCAAGATTACTCAGGTGGCCCCCGAGGAGGTGTTCAGCTCGTCCTCCGACTATGCCATCTAAAGATACCTGGGGAATGTGTAATGTGCGCTGGGTGCTGGTCCTTGCAACGTTTCCAACAAAAGGCTACCCTACCAATGTCAATGCTGAAGGGCGGCAGCACTTAAGAGCGATTGGCGATTCCTTGAGACACAGGCCCTCGCTGGTGCCAATTTCGAACTGCTGGCATGAGCAGCAAGCATGTGCATTCACCGCAGCTTTGAATATTGAGCAGCCTGTGGAGTCACCAGGAAGAAACGCGGAGCACGCCGCAAACCAAAAAAATCATTGCTACATAACAAATACGCAACTTGGCAAACACTCAAACTTTTGTAAGCGAGCCACGTTTTCACTTTCTGTGGACATCCCAAGATTACTCAGGTGGCCCCCGAGGAGGTGTTCAGCTCGTCCTCCGACTATGCCATCTAAAGATACCTGGGGAATGTGTAATGTGCGCTGGGTGCTGGTCCTTGCAACGTTTCCAACAAAAGGCTACCCTACCAATGTCCATGCTGAAGGGCGGCAGCACTTAAGAGCGATTGGCGATTCCTTGAGACACAGGCCCTGGCTGGTGCTAATTTCGAACTGCTGGCATGAGCAGCAAGCATGTGCATTCACCGCAGCTTTGAATATTGAGCAGCCTGTGGAGTCACCAGGAAGAAACGCGGAGCACGCCGCAAACCAAAAAAATCATTGCTACATAACAAATACGCAACTTGGCAAACACTCAAACTTTTGTAAGCGAGCCACGTTTTCACTTGCTCTGGACATCCCAAGATTACTCAGGTGGCCCCCGAGGAGGTGTTCAGCTCGTCCTCCGACTATGCCATCTAA